GTAGTTTTAGGTTTACGTTCGTTTTTACGTTTTCTTCTTACTTACACTAGCACTCGTGTTAGTTATTGTAGCTACCACTATCACTGTATTACTCTTCTTAACCTACCTACTCTCTCTCTCTCTCTCTCTCTCTCTCTCTCTCTCTCGCCTCACACACACACACATATACAGACTTTGCGCTTATTTGGATTCACGGCTTTAACTTGTCTCTCCCTAAACCCCAACTCTCAAATGCGCAGCATGAGTAATGCTTTTTTCCTTTCTCTTATGCAAAAATGCTAGAATGAAGTTAATGACTTGGGGTTATTTGCAAATCAGTATATGCATACCGTGGTAAACAAAGTGTTATGTAACTCAGTTTCCAGAAATATGTGGTTTCCTTAACTATCTTTTTCTAGTGAGTGCTATTTGTGCCCATCATCAAATTTAGCGACAATGAAAATAAAAACGAAAAGGAAAAAAAAAACTTATCTCTTGCATCATATTTCTAGTTTCTAGTGGTTTGCTACATGAAACTTACCTGAGAAAATCTTTGGATTGCATTTTTTCTTTTGCATTCTTTGTGCTTTGAATTTCTTTTAGACTTTAAACAATGTTTCTGATCTTATGGATTCTCTCAATGCAGATGTCCTGAACAAGATAGAACTGTTAATTTTCTTAAAGCATGTATATAATTATATATCTTGGTTTATCTTGCCATAAATTTATGTTATGATCTCTATGAGCTCCATAAGTGTCCAATGAATTATTTTGTTATTATTACAGGAAACAATCAATCTCTTAATCATTCAAGTCCGCATATGAGTTTCTCATCTCTTTTAAGGTCATCAACCCCAAAATCCCAAGTTGCTTCTGCATTTCAAGATGTGGAGGTATGTGATAATGAAGAAATTCCAAATGAAACTCGGGAAAATGAGAGTTACAGATACATGAATGGAAATGGTGATCCTTCTTTACTTGGCACTATGGGCACATATGTAAGTGATCAGATCTCTGTTTTTGAATAGTATGCGACCTTTTTTGTATCTCAATTTTAAATTTTAACACTGACAATAAGTCAGTTATAATTGTAATTTGTGGAAATTTTGGGTTTGGTTGCAGGACGTGGACACAAATGACGAGGATTTATCACGTATTTCATCTATAGATTTTGGTGGTAATTCTTATAAGAGCAACATTTTTGGGACAGTTGTAAGTAATTCAAATAATATTAATGGAGATCATTGCATGCACACGCCGACCCCAGTTGCAGCAGATATTTTAAGAAAGGAACCTGAGAAGGAAGGGATTCCACTGGAAATGGCACTTAATGGTAATCCCCATTTTAAAAAAGAAAAAACTTCTAACCGTTGTTCAATATTTTATGTCCATTTTCGAAAACAGTTCTTTTTTGATCTTTAGGCACTATTTGATGAATGTTGAAATCCACCTCTAGTAATTGGATAAGCATATAGTTCCAAGAGTGTCATCCCACATCTCTGAGTCCATTCAATGGCTTTCCTTTATTTAATTCCTTCCCTTTCCCCCATCATTCATCAGTGAAATATTCTAAAATGCCCTGGACATGAACAGTGTGTTCTTATATGATATAGGGCATGATAAAGTCTAGATTCCACCCAGACAGGGAAGTGAAAGCTGAATTTTTTAGGATCCCTCCCCCCTCCCACATGTTCAATCTTTTTTTAGCAGTTTCCCATAGATCTTTATTATTAACGCAACCTTCATTTTGCTCAGGAGTTGTATTTAGTACCTCTAAGAAAGATGATTATCTGCCATAAGTCAGTAATGTGGGTTGGCTTGGATTACTTAGTGTTGTGCGCCTAGGAGGGCAGTGCACTTTGGGATGCAGAAGAGCTATTGTTGCCCTGCTCCCTAACCTAATGTGGCACTGGGTTCAGACCGCAGGGAACCGTAGCATCATGAATAACACATTGTTTATGGTTAATTGTTTTTTCACTCAAGACTCCTTATAGGTGTCCTTTGCTTTGTTCATCTTGCACCAGTGTACTTATTGTGCTATTCCTGTGGTAAGTTTGCTTTCATATGCGTCATGTGCTTTTATTCCGAGTTACATCTTATCAAAATTCTTTAGTTGATTCAATCTGAGCTTAGGCATCATTATTTGTTTTACATTACAACTCAGCACTAGTTATTGTAGCATTTATTTTTCAAACGACAACTTGTTGTTATGTTTATTTTCCACTTGTTGATGACTTTTATACTGTTTACAGAGGCACTTAGTGGAGAGGATAAGGAAGTACGCTTGATGCTTCAAGAGTGCCTTTCCCTTAGGAACAAATATGTCTTTCGAGAAAAGATTGTTATGTGGGAGAAGGAAATGATGTCCGACCCAAGTACCCGGAAGCCAGTTATTGATCCTTTTTGTTATAAATCTGAGCGGCCAAGTGAGGTAGGTGAAAGCATTTTTGGTTGCTCACTGATAATTTATTTACTTCTGATCATTAAAAAAGGATAATACATCAACTTTCTTTTCAAATGTATTAACTTTTAGTAAAGGGGATGCTATAGTGCAGTATGTGAAACTCTAATATGGCATTTAAAAGAATTTGGTTAGAATGACCTATTTCGGGCCTAATCTGATTGTAATTCTATGATCCGATGTTGCTGAAAGCATTATTTTTGGATGGAAGACGGAGTAGTGCATGTCTATTCTGACAAAGAAAGTGAGTATATATGCTTTCATTGTCCAAGTTGGTGTTTTTTCCTTTCTATTGTGCTTGTTTTAGGTAAGTTATCTTAGTCTAGCTCCATGCTATTTGTGAGGTTCTTTTTGGAGTCTCTAATGTTTTTATTGTTTTTTGAGGATTATCTTTCAGTGAGCAGAGAGCTTTTCCCTAGCTCCATGCTATTTGTGAGGTTCTTTTCGGAGTCTCTAATGTTTTTATTGTTTTTTGAGGTTTATCTTTCAGTGAGCAGAGAGCTTTTCCCGGTTGCTGATTCAACAACATTTTTTACTGACATGCACCATATTCTGAAAATTATGAGTACTGGAAGTCTGCAGACAGCATGCAAATATCGGCTAGACCTTTTAGAATATGTGGGTTTTTGTCAATTGTGGATTTTACGTTCTTATATTCTATTTTTGAATTCTATTTCCATCCTGGTTTCTTGTTTATATATAACTTGAATATATTTTCAGAAGTTCAGGCTCCATCTGTTGCTGAATGCTGATCGTGAATTTCTAGCTCAAAAGAGTGCACCACACCGTGATTTTTACAATGTCAGAAAGGTTGATACACATGTGCATCACTCTGCATGCATGAACCAGAAACATCTTTTGCGTTTCATTAAGTCAAAACTTAGGAAAGAGCCTGATGAGGTAAATATCCTGATTTTGCAACTTCTTTTTTTCTTGTTTTAGCCCAAAGCCCAATATTATTGGCATAATTTATTCCAGTCTGTCTCCAGTCAACATTATGAGAAATCTGGTGCAGTATTTTTATTTTTCCAACGTTTGAAATTTTTCTCTTACTCTACTCTCTACTTTTTCCACCATAATTATTAGGTTGTCATATTTCGGGATGGAAAATATCTTACTCTCAGTGAAGTATTTGAGAGTTTGGATTTGACTGGGTAAGTTTCGGAAACATCTTTTGCAATATCCATTTGTATTCACTTCCTTGATGGAGACGGTACCAATTTAGTTGTGGTATTGGCAGGTACGACCTTAGTGTTGATCTCTTAGATGTGCATGCAGACAAGAGTACCTTCCATCGATTTGACAAATTCAATCTTAAATACAACCCTTGTGGCCAGAGCAGACTCAGAGAAATTTTTTTAAAGCAAGATAATCTTATTCAAGGTACTTTTCTGCATATTGGATGTAAATTTTGTTAGGTTTGCCTCTCTCTCTCTCTCTCTCTCTCTCTCTCTCTCTCTCTCTCCTACCTCCTCCTTCTTTCTGTGTGTATATGTATGTGAGAGAGAGAGAGGTGATTACGATATGGATTCCTGAGTTAACCATTGTTGAATGGTGATTCAGGTCGCTTTATAGCAGAAGTTACAAAAGAAGTTCTATCTGATCTTGAGACAAGTAAATTCCAGGTTAGCCAATATCTTGGTTTTAAGAATTATGTCCATCTTATTTTAACTGATATTCCTATTTGGAAGGAACTAAAATGCATTCCAAATGAATGTCATGTTGTCAGAATCCTTTTTTGCGATGATGCTGACTTGTTGATATGTGGCAATATTGTATATTACTAAAAAATGGCTTTGACCAAACAAAGTTGTAGATTACTAAAAAATGACTTTGAACAAACAAATTGAATCTCTTAGATTCTGCTCAGTACTTGGCCAAGTCATTTGGCAGTCTGATTCAGCCTCGGACTTGGCAAGTTGTAACAAAGTTGAAAGAGCTTATTCCAAAAATAAAATGGGAAACAGCATAAAAATTAAGAAACATATTTTTTTTTGTTTTTTGGGTAGTTAAGAAACATCTTTAAGAAAAGAGAGCATAAAGAAAAAGCGCAGGCTCCATTGAGCACCTAGAAATAAGATTAAAACGTTAACCATGAAAATGGAACCTAAGATATCCAAGGTCTCCCAGGGTCTTGGATGACTTGGGCTAGTATGTGATGAAACTCACATATTTTATAAGACTCATTGATTTCTAATGTGACTCGGAGAGTTTTGCTATGAAACTTACCAGAATGTCAATGATACATCCAGGGTCTTTGTGAGAATTGGTCCTCTCTC